AGAAAAAGAAAAAGAAAAAGAAAAAGAAAAAGAAAAAGAAAAAGAAAGCTCTGAGCAAGAGTAAGTCCACAAACAGGCTTAAGTGAGCTAGCCCAGGATGTGAGCATTTTCAGGCATCGTGCATCAGGCAGAACAAGTTGTTGACAGAAGCAGAGAAATCTCAGCTAACGCTCAGTGTTGAATCCTGGAATTGATCTCTGAATAGAGTACACAAAGCATTAACGTACATTCAATTGTACTCAAACTTCCTCAGCAATTATCTTCCTAAAAGGTACCATCATAATTTGTGATATCCTAGAAGCGCTCATCTCTTACCCATCTCTATTTGGAATCAGCACAAACAGCTGGCTAAATCTAGGCTGACATACTCTTACTGAGATCTGTTGTTTAAAGGCTATTCATCCATCAATCTCTCCTCTGTTCAAAGATCAGTCCCCTTCTGTATTGATTCCTTTTTGAAAGCTGTTGCTGTGGTTTGCTCTACCATACAAACCCCACTCTGCTTAATTGCTGATGCTCTCATAAGCAGGTTTTTCTTCTTAGTCTGAAAAGGAAAGCTGAGGAACCAGACAGTCCTGACACACTGTGTGCATGTATTTAAGTAAGGATAGAACTTCTTCACAAAAACAGTATTCAACAACCATCAGCAATAGTAGAGCTCCAGCATCCCTTGCATCTTTTATGCCAGATTCAGCATATGAACTCAGGTTTCTCCAGCGTAAGTGCAAAGTACCTTCCAAATGATCACCACTAAGGAGTGCACTCCACCCTCTTGTAAAGTTGATGGGCAAAGGATGGCCATGTACAGCACCAGCCAGCACACCAAGGTTAGGGCTGTGCTTTAAGACATACTCAAGTCTTTGCATTGCTTACCTCCAGGCTGGTGCAGGGACTGCAGTGCTGTACCGTTCTCCAGAGATGCCAGAACTGAAGCCAGATCTGTAAGAGCAATGAAAAGGAGACAGACTGCTGATCTCTGCCTCCTGACAAGGGGCAAAACACACATTAGGTGTGTCAGTTCACAAGAAGAGTATCAGCAATGTTTCACACCAAGACGGGCATAAACAGCATGATTCTGATGTAAGTTGTGGAGGAAAGGCTGCTCCTCCACAGGTAACTCAGAGCCCTAGGATTAGGAGCCAGTCTCTCCCTGTTAAGAGGAGCATTGTCTCATAGATACACATGAAATAACGTGTAACCCTGTGCCCCCCCCACCTCCAACATCTTGGATATAGTAGGAACTGGGTACCAACTGAAGGAAACAGCAGTACCTTCAAACAAGAACTCTACAGAGTGCTGCTTCTCTAGAAATGGATATTGAACAGCACTGAGCATCAGTTCAGCTTCAGATAACCCAGAAGACAACTTACCAAAGAGATCTTCGTGTCCTTCTCCTGCTGACAGCACATCTCCAGCAGGCACAGCTTTGTCACCCTGGGGCATCGCCTCTGAGGCAGGGACATCAGTTGAGTAGGGCGAGGCTGTGCTGACTGGAGCAGGCACCAGCTCTACATCTCCCTCCGCAACCTCCAAGGCAGGCAGCTCAGCTTCAGGCCCAGCACCTCCTCCTGATGGAACCTCCAACACATCCTCAGTGGGTTCCCTCCCCTTAGTGCCACCATATGTAAGGCTTCTTTCCATCTCTGTTTCACTCTGCAGCTCACTGTGCTCACTCAGGTCAGCACCAAGCCAAGCATCTTCCACAAGATCAGGGGGATGTTGGCCCTTGTCCTCTGAGCTTGCCACCTCAGCCTGGATCTTGCCTGCAGCAGGAGGAGTGGATGGACTGAGGGAGACTCTCAGCATGGGCAGCAAACCTTGTGTTATCCCTGTCCTCTGGCTCAATCCCTTAGAGGTTTCCTGGAGGGGCTCTTGGGGAGCTACAGCACCACCTGAAGAACTCACAGCTTCATAGTCTCCAAATACATAATACTGTCCTTGGAAGTGTTTGTATTTGCTGCTTAGGGGGCCACTTCTTGACAACAATAACACGTGGACTGCAGTAGCTTGTGAAGCAAAGATCAGAGTACCTCGGCTGTGACAGGCGTACACGATCTTAGTTTCCACACGTGAGAGGACCCCTTGGAAAATGATCTTGTCCTGGTTCTTCCCACAGCTGTCATTGCTCTGGAACCCCTGAACGTAGATGACAATGTGCTTTTGGGGCCCTGCCCAGATGGTCCAATTGCACCAGACGTTGGCTTGGATGTCACCATACAGTGGGAGGTTGAACACCCCAAACCCATCCTGAAAGATGACGTGGCAGCTCCTAACAGGGAAGTACTCCATCACCCAGGGCAGTCCCAGCTCTGGAAGATCACAAACAGAAAGGAAACACAATCAGTGATCAGTGTATACCCCAGGATACAGATACCCTGTTCCAAATCCTCTACTGCTGCAGAGTCCCTGGGGTTTCAACCCCCAGAGTCAACCCTCTGCTCTGGGATTGAAGCTAAGCCCAGGAACCCAGCTACTCTGCCAGCTTCTGGGGGCTGGAACTGTGAGCTTTTACTCCCAGAAGAGGTTTAGCCAAGACCATCACATTTTTGGATGTCCACCTCCCCTCCAGCAGCCAGGCCCACACTTGCCAGGCTGGGACTGTTGGTGGGACATCAGTTAGCTCTAGCTTCAGAAGTTGGCTCACACCAAAATAAGAAATATTTTGAGACCTACCAGTGTGCTTCTGTGGCTGTCCTCCTAGCATCTCCGTACGTCTGGATGCAGGACCTTTGGCAGCCTCCCGCAATTTCTGGCCTCTTGGCACTGTTTGCCCCCACTGGACTGCCGGAGGATCAGAATGGGCGGCGTGCAAGGAGGAATTTCTCTGCTCTCCCACATCCACCTGGTGACTTTCAATGGTTTTCTGCATTTTAACTGCCACATGGAGCAAGGCAGAAATCACTTTGCCACTAGTGGCCATGTCTAATTGCTGCGGAGCTGGTGTCACCCCGTGACTCAGGGTGTCCCTGGCCTGAGGAGGTCCCACACGAGGCCTTGGGATGGAGGCTGGAGAGAGACCATTCAGAGGAGCTGGGGTTTCTCGTTGCTGGCCACCCTCTTCCAGCACACCCTCTCTCACCCAAGGGCCAAGGTAGCCAGGGGACACATCTACACCCATTTCATGGGCTGCCAGTGGATGGTGAGAAGGCAATGGTGAGGCCATCTCCTGCCCTCCTAGTGAGATGCCTGCCCTTCTCCTAAGGCTGACAGGATCCGAACCTAAAGCTTCCAGTGGGGAGGGGACAGCCCTGGACATGGGCTGTTCTCCTGAGGGAAGAAGTCCTTCAAGGGCAATGTTGGCAGAGCCAAAGCCCATAGGAACGAGATCAGAATAAGAGAACACTGGTGCAGGGATTATTTCCAACCTACTTATGGAAGCAAGCTCTGGACCTGTTGGCCCAGGGGATGCCACCAGCCAAGTCTGTGAAGCAGTGTCACCCTGGTAGCAGCAGCTTTGTGTGTCCCATGAGGATGCAGGAGTTTCCTCAGCAGCCAGACAGCTGCATGCTTGGGTGCTTGCAGGGAGGCTCCCAGGGTGCACAGGAACTGCCTGCAGGACAGGATGGCTCTGGTCACATGAATGAGGATGCGCCAGGAGAATGTCCCATGGTGATGTGGGACACGGCACCACTTTCTCCTCAACACCACCCCTGGAACTCTCCAGGGGGAAGATATCCATGAATTCCATATGCTGGAGGTCGGTTGTTCCCAGCCTGGGCTGAGTCACAGGCAAAGCCCCAAAACTGCTTTGCTCTCTCTCAGGCAGCAGCTGCAAGTGTTCCCCACTCACCACATCATAGGGGCTGCTCAGGCTGGGCATCAGACCCCCTGCAAGGCCAACAGCACCGCTGCCTGCTGCTCCGTCAGCTGGGATGCTCAGCTGGGCATGGCTTCTGTCCTTCCTTAAACCCAGCCCCTGGGACACGGTGGTACCAATACACCCAATGGTACCAATGCTTCTGCCAGGAGAGGAGGCCTGTAAATCAGCATCCAAGTCCATGTGAATTGTGCATGTTGGTTTAATGGTAAACTGGAGGTCTCTTAAATCTTCCAGCCTCAGAGTGGGGTGCAGTACAGACTGTCTACTCTCCCAGCTCACGCCTTTAGGCTGCAGCAAAGGCTCCACCACTTGCAAGGCTCCAAACAAAGGTGTTTCCAAAGGCACGCTTGAAAACTCACACGTATAACCTGAACTTGGGACAACACATCTGTTGGCAGTACAGCTCAACCACTGGGCAGCCCCAGCTATGACTTCCTCTTCCTGGCAGAGCCTTGGCCTCATCTGTGGATCAGAGCCCTGCACACAGGCAGCTGGCATGCCCAGCAGCTGTGTACTTGCACCTTGGTATGGGGCAAGCTTTACTGGACTTCCTGTCAGCATCATGGTTGCGGAGCCTCCAAGGTGGTCTGTCCATCCAGGCTGGAAAACACTGTCTTGCTTAGATGGCTTTGGAGTGAGAGTTTCAGGAATCAAAGCACCTTTAGAGGGAGATTTGTGTTCCTGATGCTGGAAGATGTAATACTTGCCTTTAAATTGGGTGTCTCTGCAATTTGGCAAGTACCTCTTCAGCAACACAACATGCACAGCCTGAGCAAAGGTGGCAAAAACATGCATCTCCTTCATCCAGCAAGCATAAACTACATCATTTTCCACCAGCGAAGAAACTCCTTCAAAGAGGATTTTGTCTTTATTTCTGTTACAATCCTCCTGTGTGATAAAGCCTTGAATATAAATTATTATATGCTTCCTGGAGCCTGCCCAGATTGTCCAGTTACACCACAAGTTGAACGGTGAATCACTGCGATACTCTGGAGGAGAAAATTCCCCATATGTGCCCCGCAAGACTCTGTGGCAGCTTCTCGTGGGCACATATGCTAATATCCAAGGAAATGCTGACCCTGGAAGACAACAGACAACCTCAAGTTTTCCTTCTTCCCCACCTGCCAGCTGGGAATAGTCCTTCCCTCCAGAAATTGCCTTCAAGCTCTCCTATCCCCCATTTGCATGAGCCACCATCAGCAGAACATGCTGTGCCTGCCTCAGGCCCTGCGGTCAGGGGAAGGAGGTCAAAGGGTACAAGCACACCAGCTCAGGATGCTCCCAGATCTGCCATCTCTCCAACAAGGACTGTTTCCACACATACCTGCTGACAACACACTCCAAACCTCCTCCCACCATCTCTCCCCACCAGCGTGTACAGCTCCACAGGACCTTGGTGCAGCTGGAAAAGCCCTGGCACCACATTACATGCTGCTGACTGCAGGCAGGGCAGTAATGGCCCAGCAATACAAGAACCAGAAAGCAGCTGGCAATTGCTCTCCTGAAACATCCCATGGAAACTGCTCCACACACTCTCAGAACCCACAGTGTGGAGCACAAGAGCAGCAGGAGCTGGGGATGGATGATCACACACTTGCATAGATGGCCTGAAAGCTTCACATCCCCTTCTTGCTTCAAGGCTTCAGCCAAGCAAGAAGCCTCTCAGCAGGGTAAGAAACATCAGAACTCCACTGTGGTTTAGTTAGGAAATAAACAACATTCCCCAGAAATGCTACCTTCAAGCTAGAAGACCCACAGCCAGCAGGGAGTTTGCCCTCCAGGAAGGCCACTGTGGTTTGCATTGTGCTTTAATTGCTGCCTAAAAACAGCTTGCTGCAGCCAAATCTCCTGCCTCAGTGCCCTCCCATCACAATGCTCTACACCCCTTCCTCCATCCCACAGCCAGGTGACTACTCCAGGCTTCCCACACCAGAGATTGACATGCCCAGCAAAACTGAAAATGGAAAGAGAGGAGTGGCACAGACAGAGAAACATCAGTGTGAGAATTAAGTCTTACCTGCTTTAGCATCCCGATGTTCTGAGTAGGACTTGCATGCCTATAAAGAAAACAGCCTCATTGCAGACCTGAGCATCAGCATCTGCACTAGAACAGCCAGAGACCAAGGAACACTGACACCACTTCCTTCATCACCTTGTTTTTCCTAGCAGCACTCCCCACCTCCAACAGCAGCAGCATCACCCAACTAATACTGTAAGGGCCACAGCTGATGCACTACCACTCCCAGAGTGGCCAGAGTACCCTCCCCTCACTTACCCCCACAGCTCTACAGTCAGGATGCAACAGCCCTGATGCAGGTCCCCACACCAAGGACACCGGGAGCAGGAACACCAGAAGGGCCAAAAGCTTCATAGTAGAGTCTCACAACATTAAAACCAGACCTAAATGCCTCCTAAAGTACCACTTCCTCCCTTAAGGAACCCAGCAAGCTTCCCCCAGGTAGAGTACTTACTCCACCCTCTTGCCAATATATGCACCCATACATTGCCCAGGTACCCCTGATAACAATTAGTTTGTCATGAATGAGAACCAGCTGTGTTCATTAACCTCACAGCATCCTTCCTGCCCTCCCTGTTTTGGTGAGCAGACTCCATCTATCCAAACAAACAAACAAAAAACCATGTCATGCTGGGAACTGGAATTAAAGCATTGCTGATGTTGATGGTG